AAACTTAAACTTTTGCATCCGATCTCTGCGTCTCCATTACTTTGTCCCCACATGACACCTTTGCATCTCTGCGTCTTCGCGTCTTCGCGCCGTCCACACTTGGCTCTATCTCTGCCCTCTACTTGCCAGGTGACCTCGGCTTGCATTACTAAAAAGTTTTATTATTTTCTATGTACTCTCTGCTTGCACTATACGCCCAAGTAGTATCATTGCTCATGCTCACATTGTTTGCATCTGGACATTTCGCGCGGCCAGGCTTCAGTTGGCGTTGACCTGCTTAAGGCCAGCTCGTGGTGAAGCTACCTGATGTCATCCAATGGCCTACACAAAAGATATCCACAAAAGATATCTAATAGAGGGACTGCACAATGACGATGAACTTGCACTCCAAGTCTGCACATTGTATCTAATTCTAGGCTTTATTTGCAGATAGACTAAGATAGCTGGTAGTGTGGTGGTCTCACACTAAATATATTTGTCTGTCGCATTACGGTGCTGAGCAACAGTTAGCTGAAGCAGACGGTATCAAGGAGGTGTAACACACCTGGTTCTGTGGCAGCAAAGAAGGGAGGAGCAGGAGCACAGAAACAGCTTGCTTTGCTGCTGTGCAGTGGTATTCACAAAATGCGCCAGCCAAAGGTTGCCCTTTCTGATCTTAATGTGCTCACACACCGACTGTATCTGTCAGTATACAACATGTTTCTGTGGAGGGCCTAAGGAGTGGTGCAGGACTTTGCGAGCAATGTGCTGTTGAGCCAGTGTTGTGAAAGACTTCGTGCAGGCGAGGGATTCATGAGCAATCGAGGATAATTTCCTAAAATAATACTACATGTTCTTATATAGTTTATCTACTTCCTAATCTGGTCAGACTAATAAAATGTATCTTAGGAAGCTGAGACTTGAAGGAAACATAACAGGGCGCAGAGCCGAGAGTGCTCTGTGCGGGTCATATCTAAAACGGGCATGACAGATCCATATTGGGCATGATGGCCTAAGCACGTCATGTTGGTATCTCTGGCAGCATGGCTGATGTGCATCCGGCGCCTCAGATACTACAACAGCTGGGAGGAGCAGCTGGCTGTGGCTTAATTTGTGGGTGAGTGCTGGTGTAGATGCAGGTGTCCATACCGTTGCCAGGACTACATGCACGCGTTGTTGTATGACGTTGACCTCGTTGTCATTGAGAACAGCTTACAGATGTACAGACACAGATCTGAGGCTGAGCATGAGTGTGGCCGGTATGTGCGTCACAGCCTCATTGCGGGGGCAGAACAGACTTCAAGGAGGGCGGGGACCATGAGCAGCTCGGTGGGGAGTTTGTGCTGGGACCTGGGTGTGTTTGTCTTGGTCTGGATAGTCAGGGGAAGGCATGGGGCAATATTTTTCATGAATATGGCACAATAAGCATACGGAGATGGTACAGGAGCTAGCAACATACCTTTTCCCTCCAGCCAGACAGGTCCCACAGTGTCGCTGCAGAAGCCGGAGCACTCTCAGAGAGACACAACATAAGATGAAGGTTGCGCAGAGGACAGGGATGACACCCCAAAGAGCTCCTGGATGCCGGGCAGGCTCACCAGCGTATCCCCCAAAATGCTCCTCTCCGAAGGATCAATTCCAGAGCCAGAACCACTGCTGGACACATCAATGACATTCTGCAGTATGCCAACCAGAACATATGCTAAAGGAAATGAAAGATTGTCCTCAATACTTCCTGTCATGTGATGTTGTCAGTCTCTATTAAAGATCACGCTGGCGGAACTTGTACGTGCCTCAAAGTCAGTGTGCGGCACCTGTGCCAATCATTCCTCCAACTGAGAAATAGTCTGGGTCAGCAATGAGGTACAAGCAGATGCACACTGCCTGCACACTGCCACTTCTGTTCGTGTGTGAAACACTCGTGAATAGCAATAAAGAACCTTGTTGTGTCACAATTGTGTGTGGCACAGGTGGGGTGTACGCTGGCATTCTCTTTATACATACATACAGAATAACAGAGTGGTGCTCACAACTTGTTGACACCGTGAGACCAGTGAAGATAGGGCCCCAAGTGTCTAGCTGCACAGACGAAGGACATCTCTTGGCATTCATGGTGTAGAGGGCGTGTTGAGAGTGTATATATATGCAGCTGGTTGCACCAAGTCACGCTGAATGTAATGAAGTATTCGAGGTCCTCTGGTAGCCATCACAGAAATTCCTTCTATGGCAAGCAGATCACTGATCGCAC